GTGTTTAATTTTTTGTTATTTTTAATTGTAGTGCTTAATGATTTTTATCATATTACTAACAAAATATGTGTGCTCATCAATTTTGTAGGACGAGGGTCATTTGAGAAAGTCAAATTTTGCAAAGGCAAATCAAGCACAAGGACCGAGGGTAACACACATCAGCGGTCCAATGGACACCAATGGTTACAGAAAGAAAATGGTATAAAAGTTAATATATTTTTAATGAATAATTAATGCATTATGATTTATAATTTATTTTATATTGGTTTTAATATTTGGTCTTCCTTTTTTTCTTTATAGCAACAAACAAACCTCGAGGGTTATCTACCGACATTTCCTGAGCTGTACACCAGTATAAGGCAGCACAAACCAAAAGGAAAAGACTAACTGCCTATATATTGTAATGATGAGGCTTGAGAAATTAGCGTAAGCATTTAATAATATGAATTATCAAATTTAAACTTAAATTTTGAATTGTTGAAGTTTATTGAATAAGAGAAGCTAATGATTATATAATTCTCGTTGAATGTAGTTGTGTATTTGAGGTGATTCAAATGCAATCCTTTATTTGGTTGAAGGGTAAGGTGAATGGGTTTTATTATTTTTTATTTGAGTGGTGCAGCAACTCAAGAGTTTGTGTAGACGTAGTTGTTTAGTATGTTTTTTATGCTTAAGGATTTGATGGTCTGAACAAAAGGATTTTGTTTTGTGAAGCGAAATTTGTAAACTTGGTGTGTATTTTTTGTTGAATATAATTCTTGTTGAATGTGGATGTGTATTTCCTAATTGATGTTAATTGGTAACAAGGTTGATGTCTAATATTTAGGGGTATAGGATAAAGGTTAAAAAGTTAGAAGCCTATCTTTTTAGGGGAGAGTAAATTGAATTTTTTTGAATTTCCCTAACTGATATTTTAAATTTCACTTTAATTTTAAACACATTTTATTTTATTTTATATGATTTTAGGAAAAATTGGTAGCTGAATATGCTGGCAAGCAAGAGGAAGAAGATTTTGACCCTACAATGGCCCATGGTGAGTTATTAGTTAGAGCAATTGGTGGGGTCAATAAAGGATGGTTGAAAGGTCTGGACGTTTATACACATCCATAGGATGTAGGTGTGAGCACATCTAGACGAGAACCATTCATGCCACCCATCATAGGACAATTTATATATGTATGATTGTTGAAATATAGTAGTATTTTTATATATTAAATTTATATACATAAAGAAATTTAATTTAAAATTATTAAGATTAAGATTAACATGTGTGGTTATTGAGATGTTTGGTTATTAGTTGATATATTAAAATACTTTGTCAAATTGAAATTCAAATTAGGTAATTAAATGATGGACAACCGTGGTTGGATAGATCATCGTGTAGATGATAGTGGTTTTATTATTGATGAATTTAAAGAGGGGGTGCAATTTTTTGTGAGATTTGCATTTTCAAGACCGAAAGCAAAATCAAAGATTAAGTGTCCTTGTTTGAAATGTAAATGTAGAAAATGGGGGAATCTTGAGGTTGTCTCTATGCATTTGTGTAAGCATGGGTTTATGAATAACTATTATACATGATATGTTCATGGAGAGACATCCAGCAATACAATAAGAAACTTTGAAGGGGAATCTTCTAATATGAAGTTTGTTAGAAATGAGGTAGATGCATTGTACCATGAAATGATAGTTGATGCAATGGGTGCACAGTCTGAATACAATGAGAGGCCAATGGTTGAGGAGCCAAATAGTAAGGCAAGAGAATTTTATGATCTCTTACATGCTGCAAAAGTTCATATAGGTGCTAGGGGACAGCATGTTACAGTACTTTAATGAATAGCAGAAATGCTAAACATGAAAACTCTTTATAATATGAGTGCTACTAATTGGAAGATGGCACTGTCATTGAGTCAAAAGTTGTTGAGTCTAGAGGACTAAGAAAAGGTGCTAAAGGATTTCTACAGTGCCAAAAAATGATAAATGTGCTTGGACTTGGGTACAAGAAAATTGATATTTGTATCAATGATTGCTCCTTGTACTATGATGAGCAAAGTAAGAATTTAACTGCTTGTCCAGTGTGGAGAATCTCATTATGAGCTGAGGAATATGTCTGCTATAAGGTAGAAAGATGTTTCAAGGAAATCTTTGTGGTACCTTCCAATTACTCCAAGATTACAGCGACTATACATGTCTAGGTAAACAGCAACACACATGACATGGCATTTGAAATGTCGTGAGGATGTGGATGAAGTTATTCATCATGTGAGTAGTGAGGCATGGAAACACTTTGATGAAACCAACCCAACATTTGCTAAGGAACCTAGAAATGTTAGACTTGGCCTCTGTACAGATGGTTTTAATCCATTTGGTTGCTCTGCAACAGCTTACTCTTGTTGGCCTATTTTTCTTACAGTGTACAACCTTCCTCCTGAATTGTGTATGAAGTTAGAGCATATATTTCTTGCCATGATAATTGCTAGACCTAAAAGTCTAAGAAAAAACATTGATGTCATGCTTAGGCCATTAATTGATGAACTTAAGGAATTGTGGACAAATGGGGTTAAAACTTACTATAGTTTCAGGCAACAGAATTTTATCATGAAAGTTGCATTGCTAGTAACTATAAGTGATTTTCCAGGTTATGGCATGTTATCTGGATGGAGCATACATGGAAAGTTGTCATGCCCTTATTGCATGAAGAACACTAAGGCTTTTCAACTTCAATATGGGAGGAAAACATCATTTTTTAATTGTCATCGTCAATTTTTACCTCTTAAACATCCATTTTGTAGAGATAAAAAATTTTTTTATCTCAACAGAGTTGAAAAAGCCGTCCCCCTCCTCCCGACTAGATGGTACTTTGATGGAAGAAAGGGTTAATCAGCTCCCTAACATAGTCTTTGACCAGCCACTTCGTAAACATTCTGTTGTAAGATTTGGTGTTTATCATAATTGAGTGAAACGTCGTATATTTTGGGAATTGCCATACTAGAAGGATTTAGTGATTCGTCATAACCTTAATGTCATGCATTGTTGAAAGAATTTTTTAGATAACATTAAAAATACTGATAACACCAATGCTAAATTGGATCTACAACTATATTGCAATAGATCTGAATTAGAATTGATACCTCAAGATGATGGAACAACTATAAAACCCAATGCTACATATGTTGTTACTTGAGAGCAACGAGCTTTTATCTGTCAGTGGCTGAAGGAATTGAGATTCCCAGATGGGTATGCATCCAACATAGCATGATGTGTTAACATGCAAGAACTTCAATTGTTTGGGATGAAAAGCCATGATTGTCATGTATTCATGCAACGTCTCTTGCCAATTGCTTTCCGTGATTTCTTCATAGATGAAGTTTGGGGTCCCTTAATTGGAATTAGTAACTTTTTTAGAGCTTTAACTGCTCCGATTATTCAAGTCAGTAACATGAAGATGTGGGAGGAAAAAATTGTTGAGACCATTTGCAAGCTAGAAAAAGTATTCCTGCCAACATTCTTTGACTCGATGGAGCATTTGGCTATCCATCTACCATATGAGGCAAAAGTTAGAGGACCTGTCCAATTTTGTTGGATGTATCCTTTTGAAAGGTATATTTCTTTTAATATATCTTTACATCACAATAACATTTATGAGCATATTTAATAATTTAATGTTATTAATTAATTTTCTTATTTGTTAATAGAAAAATGCATGACCTTAAGAAAACAGTGTTGAACAAAAATCGTGTTGAAGTTTCGATTTACGAGTCTAATATTCTTTCAAAAATTACCTTCTTTTGCTCGCATTATTTTGAATCTGACATAGAGACAAGATTGAATCATCAACCAAGAAACATTGTCGGCGTGAATGATGATATGGATAATTGTTTGTTTGTCTTTAAACATCGAAGTCAACCACTAAGTGGAGAAATGCGTAGGCATGCATTGTCACCCAAAGAATTAAAGGCAGCAGAATTTTATGTTTTGCTTAGTTGTGAAGAAGTTAATCCATGGATTGCGTATGTTCTCTAGTTCTAACTTTTATTTGTTTAAGTTACTAATATGTATAGATTGTTTTCTCCAACTTCTTCATATAGGCTTTTTGATTATTAAGTATGTTCCGATCTATCAAATGATCAAATTCCAATCAAACGGCAACTTGAATTTATTCCTTGGTTTAAGACAACGATAAATAATTTATTTTAATAATTTTTATTATTAAGATCTCAATTTTTATATATTTTAGGATTAAATATTAAATATTTTTATAACAAATATAGGTGCCTAGTGGAAGATATGAGGTTGATTCTTGCCTTTTACCTTTAGTAACTGGCCCAGTCAGTAACATTAGAGTATACAATGGTTATTGGGTTAATGGATTCCGGTTTCATACTATCACATATGAACAAAATAAAAAGACCATGAATAGCGGTGTTTGTGTGAAGGGAACCACTTTCAATGATGAGTCAGATTATTATGGGAGTTTGAAGGAAAT